GGTTCAAGTTTACATATTGCTTGTTTAGAAATAGCTGTATTGATTCAAGATATTGTTTGTTTAGGAATAACTGTATTGGTTCAAGTTTACATATTGCTTGTTTAGAAATAGCTGTATTGATTCAAGATATTGTTTGTTTAGGAATAACTGTATTGGTTCAAGTTTACATATTGCTTGTTTAGAAATAGCTGTATTGATTCAAGATATTGTTTGTTTAGGAATAACTGTATTGGTTCTAGTTACATTGTTTGTTAAGTAATAAGTATAGTGGTCCTTATCTCCCTTACTCTTGCCTGTTAGAATGTCTGAACCCAGGTCGGCTCCTGTGTCCTGTTGGGCTGTTTGATGTGCCTTTTCATGTACTTTTTTATTTCAGTTATTCCTGTATTTGTATGTCTCTACCTTGAGGCTTCTCTTTTTCCAAGGACCTATCTCCTTTTACTATTACTGGATGGGTCTGTTGCCTTCTCCAGTTGGTATGTTAATTTTGGGATACAAATGCTCCCAGACTGTTTCACATTTCTTCACATTCAATTCCTCACCTTTATCCTTCTCTTATATCTTCTTTGCCGGCCCTAGGATGAGCTCCTCCTGGTGGCCATGTGAACACACTGCACACATTCGTCTCCTCTTCTATGCGTTTTGGCTGTTTTATCTCCTGATGGATTTCAGCTTCCCCAGGTCACCATTCTTCACTCTCCCTACAGTCTTTGAAATGCATACATGCTATTTCTCTTTCAGAGCCCTGTATATCATTTCATAGGATCCTGCCATGTGACTGGTGTTGCCTCCAAAGGTATACTTACCTAAAAGCTGTATCAAGCTAGGATAATGGAAGGTGCTCATACCATCTGCCCTGGCTCTACTCTCCTATTGGTGGAGAGCTTTTATCTCGTGATATCATGGGGCAATGCAATTCATGTGAAATTAGGTCGGAGTTGCCTTGAGGCTAGTGACATGCAAATTTCTGCAGCAAATGTGTGAGGAAGGTAGCTAAACATTTGTTTGGGTAAGGAAAATGTTAACATTCCTAGCATCTTGGGAATGTAATAAGAATTTGGAAATCTATGATTCTAAGTCCGAACAATTATAATTTGACATCACACTTGAGCTGAAAATTCTACCAATAGAAATAAGTGTATAAATGTGGTGCTTGCACTATTGTAGTGCTCTGGATTTTGGAGCTTATGAACTGGGTTTGAATCCATGCAATACTTAAATATTCTCTCTCTCTCTCTCACACACACACACTTTAAGTTTGGGAGCATTATAAGAGTAACAGTCAATCCCTTAACATGGGTGAGAGGATGCTGCTGACTGGCTGTTTTTCCTCTGTTCAGTTAGGGATGGCAACAGATAGCCTTATTAGTTTTGTCATAAATATAAAACAAGTATTTGTTGTCAGTGTTAATCCTTGTTTTAATAAATCAAGCTATGTTAGTATGTGGGTTGTTGAAGTTCATTTAGTAAATCTTGTGTTTTCTGTAAATGAAGCTGCCAGCAACATTCAGAATGATCATGCTCGGAAAGTCGTTGAGCGAACTATCATGAGCCAGATTTATGTTCATGCCCTCTACCCTAATGGAGATGGAGATGTTTTACGAGATCAGTAAGTGTATTTCAAATTTAAAGCTAAATTTACTTACCAGTGAATATTGCAGTATCTTATTATGTACTAATATTTGATGTGAATGTAGGAAATTAAGAATTATATATTTTTTAATATTTTAACTCTTGTAATTTCTGATGGTTTTAGACTTTTTTAAGAAACAGCAATGAGCAGAAAAAATTTGCCAAAAAGAGTATTATTTGTGGAATGTGATTATTTTTAAGCTATGTTACACTAAGCTTTTACTTTCTAGCTGTCTCAAGGTAGTGTTTCTGTAATATTGTTTCTTTCAGGGTCCTCCATCAACACATGTTGAAGTTATCCCATGTAATCACACCAAACCACAAGGACTTAAAAGTGTCTAAGGTACAGACACGTGTTTTCTTTATTATTTAAATACAGTTGTCTCAATGTGAAATATATTAGTTATTTGTTTGCTAGATTTAAGAACAATAGTTAATATTAATTTTAAGAGGTTTCAGAATTACTCTAAATAATATACATTTTCTACAATATATCTGTAGTACAAATAGAAAGCTATGCTTTTATATATGCATGTATAGATATATCCAGTGATCCTTGGTACTTGTTTGTACTCAGGAACAGTTATATTTGTTGGTTTGAATATAGTTCATAATGACCTCCATAATACAAGGTTTTTAAGGATAACCCAAACAAATTGCATATTGGAGATCTGTGAAAGAGTTTTAAGTATCTGTCACTGCATGAGGTAAGTTAAATTATGTTGAAACATGCATGGCTTTTGTTTTGTATAAGCAGAACCTAGTACCTGACATTGTTCATGACTTACATTTATTGTGAAAATTCAACTTATTTTGCTGGATTGCATTTAATAATTTGGCATACTTGTACTTTGCATTGTTCTCCAAGCTGTGCAGAGTCCGAGTCTGTTTCTCACTCTGTCTGTATCTCATATTAGAAAAATGCTGAACAAGAAGAAGGATGATAATTTCTCATTATTGTGTTGTTTGTTTTTTCAGTTTAGTACACGATTCAATAACAAACCTAACCTATACATTACATTTTCTCTTAAACGTATAGCAAAACAAGACAACTTAAGTGTTTAATTTTCTTAGCCTTCTTTTTTTTTCTTCTATTGGCCCAAGATTAAGCTCTGAGTACATTCTTAATGATCTTTTACACCTGGAGCCAACTTGATTGTGCCATGTGTAGTAAAATTCTTTTCGTCGTTATTTGGAGAAGTTTATACAAAATTTCAAGTCTCATCTGACTTAATTCTTATTATTTATACTGTGGATTCAGATTCAACTCCATTTTCCATATCTCATATATTCTTCATTTTCCATGTCTAATATGAACAGCTGAAATTTGTTTAAAGATTATAAAGTATAGCATAAAAAGTCCATAGTAAACTCAGTCCATATTTTGAACAAACTGCCTAAATCCATTAAAAAAAACTGTTTGAAGCTTGTCTTCATACTATAATTTATAGGCTTACTTTTTTCCCTAGTATGCTAATTATAGTGTAGAGTTTACAATTAATATTTGTGGAATTCTAGTTGGTTTAAAATCAAAATGGTAAATATTTATTTAGATAATCTTAGAGAAAGACGTTAGGAAACTTAGGGTAAAAAGATGTTGAAGCTGAAATACTCATTTCCTTCCTAGATGTGCTTCTTGGATGAGCAAATTCTCATGATAATTGGTTAGCAACTGTGAACCCATCAGGTTGTAAAATGCTGTAATATTTTCCGTTACTTTAATACAAGCTATCATACTCATTCAGTATAAGGGGAAGACATAGGGACCTCTGGAGTGGCATAGAAGGGGTCGATCCAAATGCCAACCTCCTAGATCACTCCCCAAGAGCCCTAAAGGGCCATTCCAGGTTTAGTGATAAATGGTTACTACAGCATTATTATATGATTATTTTGATGACAGTTATTTCATGCTGTGGGTAGGTAGTGTGTATGAATAGACATAAAGACTTTTGTGATTCCAAAGAGCTGGTTTACTTTTAGTGACATAAGTTTTGTGGATTCAATCAGACCAGACCTTGTCCCAATACTGGACAATGCTTGATATTACCAGGATTGATAAAAAGGTCATGGAACAACAAGAAGGAAATCCTGAGCTCTCTTCCACTGAACATATTTGGAACATTCTCAGAATTCATGTATATCAATGCCTTAAAGCATGATACAGTGTTAGAGAGCTCAGCTCTGTAGTGACTGAAGAATGAGACAGAAACTCAGTGTCATCTGCCAAATGCCTTCCAAGTGTAAAAGCATTTAGTTATTTATAAACTTTTCTATAAAGAGCATGCAAGGGGAGAAGCCAAAATGATCTTTTTATAAAGGTTCACCATTTCAATCATCTTGACACAGTTGTGTATTGATTTTTTTTTTCAAGAACGCAATAAAACACCATAAACTAGAAACGTGGAAATAATTATCAAAACAAAGCCACTGAAGAAGTCCTTGATCTTGATTTGCTTGCTTTGTGAAGCCAATTCATTTCTCTAGAATGTTACTTTCCAACTCCACTTGCAGGCTGTAAGGAAAATTCTTTTATCTTACTACATATCCCAGAGCATAAGACAATGTTACTTGCTGAACTGTATGAATATTTGGTTAATCTTCAATAACCAATACATACATAAATTTTATTGATTTTTCTGAGAAATGTAATTACACTGTATTAGAACATACCTATCATATATGAGTATTTCAAATATGATTATTTCTTCATTTATTTTATTCACCAAAAAATTCACTCATAAACAGTTAAAATTCACTTCAAAAGTTCAATATTTGTGTTCGGTCTAATTTCTTGTGTTAGTAGGCTTAATTTCTACAGATGTACATAACATTTGGTGGCTTACCTTATAGCTTTATCTCACCCTGCAACCATTAAAGAATTTTTTTTTTCGAAGGTGCTATTGCTTCAACCCAAAAGCATCCACATTTTTATAAATCATGATCAACTATGGCAGCATTTGGTGCTTTCCTTTAATCGCATTCCCATATGAGACTTTGTAAAAGTTTGAGTTATCTCTCTTGCAACAGATAATGACAACAGGTCAATTTGGGAAGGTCACTGATCCACATTAAACAGTGGGTCAGTGTATACAATGTCAGTAAGTAAAGAAACTCGTGGGGAATTCTAAAAATGGTCGTTATGTGCATGTGGTTGCTAAGACAGGCTTGTCTGTGTATCATTTAGCCATATAGACAAGCTAATCCAGTCTGATCCTAACTTTGACAACTTTGTTTAAACTAGATTAGTTCAATGAATGTAGTTAAGTTCCCAGACACAAATAATTTATTCTGTATTTTTATCTGTTATTTACATTTCTGCTTATTTAGGTTTACCATCATGAGTGTCCCTGGCCATCTGCCCAAGCTGAACTAATTACCATCAATGCTTATAAGGTAAGAAGAAGCTATTGAGGTATTATTGTTATTACAGCCAAAAACATTAACAGTGAGGGTACCTAACCGGTGAAACAGTGCATTCTAGTCTTTATAAATATGAATGTAAAAATTTTTTATTTGATTATGTATATTCTTTACCAATACCAGGTTGAATTTTAGTTTCACTTTAAGCAGGTAGCTTTCTCTAACTGAAAGAAAATATTAATTTTCTTGGCTGTAAAATCTAACATTCTTACAATCTACATATATAATAAAAACACCTATATAGATACCAATCCATTTATTCCTGTGAATGCTTATTTATTTGGGAAGCATTTTTCCATTACTATATAGTTGTAAAGCATTCATGCTTTTACTAGCCTCCTGATCACTGTGAAGGTCCGAATAATTTTTTGTATTTTCCTTTTCAGACACCACGAGATAAAATTCAGTGTGTTCTGCGCTGTTGTAACACCATTATGAACCTGCTTAGCATGGCAGGCGATCGGTCTGTTCCTGCGGCCGATGATTTCATGCCTGTCTTGGTATATGTGATGATTAAAGCTAACCCTACATCTTTACTTTCGACAGTACAATATGTTAACACCTTCTATGAAAAACAACTGGAGGGAGAAGAAGCTTACTGGTGGACACAGTTTTGTTCTGCAGTAGAGTTTATCAAAACTATGGATTACTGAAAGGAACAGATTTCTTCTGGTGTTAAACAAGTCTTAAATGTGATTTTTGTTTTAAAAATGTATGTTGAATTAATATTGTTGTTGAATATCATCTGTTCTAGTTACAACTCTTCTTGACTCTTCCAAGCTTTCACCATGTTTGGTGAAAACTTCATTGATATTTACAGATATTTCATACATTTTGTAGCTGCAGTTTGCTGTTACAAACATGCTTTGTCTATTACAGTATCTCACTGATGCTAAGCATTGCCTCTGTAGCAGCAGTTTGCTGTTACAAACATGCTTTGTCTATTACAGTATCTCACTGATGCTAAGCATTGCCTCTGTAGCAGCAGTTTGCTGTTACAAACGTGCTTTGTTTATTACAGCATCTCACTGATGCTAAGCATTGCCTCTGTAGCAGCAGTTTGCTGTTACAAACGTGCTTTGTCTATTACAGTATCTCACTGATGCTAAGCATTGCCTCTGTAGCAGCAGTTTGCTGTTACAAACGTGCTTTGTCT